ATTTAGTCGATGGAGACTTCAGTCTCTGCAGAGAAGTAGAACCAACTGTCCTTGAGAAATGCAGCCATTGTTTAAGGAAAGTAACACGGTTCCTAAATATGGGGTAATCTATAGGATTCTATAATCTATATTTTTAGTTGTTTTTGGGGATCGCTCCTGACTGAGCTGATACTAGAGGACATGTAAACTATGGTCACCAGTAGAAAGAAAACAGGGTTTTCGTCCAGATTAAAGGTTACCGTTTTATCTTGTGGGGAGGGAAAGGCCATCTTTCATTTCTCATTTAATAAATGTGTGTATTTGTCCAAGCGAGTGTGGCTTTGCATTATTTGAATGAGCAAAAATGGTAAGTTTAAAAGAGAAGAAGCTTATTCTAAATATAGGTTTTTGACCTGCGGTAACTCGATACTTAGAGCTGATCAGAAAGGCTGATTATTTTTCAAATTACAGGTGTTAAAGTTCACACATTTAGAGCACTTAAAAAATAGATCCTTATCTTTAAGGTAACGTTTCTATTAGATTATGACTTATTTACAAAGGAATTAAATCACATTCACTCTACAAGCCTGCTGTAATGCACAAACAGCAATAGATTGAGGGCTCTTGTAAACACCAAGTAAACACTGTCATTTACTAATGCATGCTTTTATTGCTCCTTGAAAGTAATGCTTCATATAACTTATGTGGGAGAGCAAGGTAGTTATTCATCAGTGTGTGTGTGTGTGTGTGTGTGTGTGTGTGTGTGTGTGTGTGTGTGTGTGTGTGTGTGTGTGTGTGTGTGTGTGTGTGTGTGTGTGTGTGTGTAGGTCATGCTCTGAACTTAAGGAGTTCCTGGACAAGAGTGTTGCAAATAAAGACTAATAGCCCAGTTAAAAGCAAATAAGCCTACTAAGTCTGAACCGATGCTTCGTAGGCGCCGCAGGCTTAACAGTTATCCATCCAATTAAGATCTTGTTTTGCACTCAGTGGACTGACTGACCAATGCTACCTACCGTTTGCACCTCCATTAAGTACTTAGCCAGTCATAAAAAGGTGGCTGCTCTAAAATTAGAGTAAATTATCTGGGAGTAATCACAGCACAGCATGACATTTTCACACCATGTCATATTTACCAATACACACTTGGTACGCCAGGTAGAAAGGGCACAGAGAAGGTTGTGTGAAAAGGTACTACGGTGAGAAGAGACAAGAATGATTTAGAGGAAGGGCCAACATACAAGTCCAGGTAGTGATATATGTGTCTGGCTTCCTACATCCCCCGCTTTTTACTCACATGACATGACCCTGTAGTAAGTCAGTGTAATAGCCATAGCTCAGGGAGCCTTGTGATTTAAAGATAAGAGTTTCGTCCCGAGAATCTCCACACTATATCACTGCTTCCCCTCCTCATCTTCGCCTATGTATCTCCACACATGGTTTTTACTAGTTGTCCGTTTCAAGCTGTTTCCCTCTCCCTCCCATACACACACAGACACACACAAACCTCCCCTACTCACCCTTGAGGCACACACAATGAGGGCTTAATGAAAAGGTACTTGCATCGGCAGCTTTGCACAAGGGAGATATCTTTAAATGTCACTGTTAATGGGAGGAATTAGCAGAGAGCAGGGTGTCCTGTATCTGTGTGTGAACGTGTGCATCCTGATGGTAGTGTGTGATAACTGGATGAATGAGGTATAGCTTATTTGTCCTACTTGGTGTGTGTTAGTTTCACCACCCAGCGGAACATAGTGGCAGTTCGTGCAGTTGATTTATGTTCCCCAGGCCTCGGCTCTGTGGACCCTGGGCTTGATTACAGTGCATCACCGCAGCTACAGCCATGACCCCACTTTGACCCCATAAATTAGTCCCGCTGCATGATGGGAGCTTTCAAAATCAGATGTTGCCGATTGATTTAACTGTAGCCATAATTTCAGCATATAATTTATGCTCCTTCCTGTAAATCGAGCATCTCAGTGGAGCAATGCATCACAGCTCCAGCGAGCCTGAAGGACCACGGCAAAAATGATTGATGCTCTCTATGGATCATTGCTGAGAGGTTCTGTTTAATGGTTGCTGCAACTGTTTACATGCTTGATAAACAAGCTGTTAGAAATATGATGGCGGATCATGACTTTGCCGTCCTATAATCCCAGCTGATGAAACTGTGATACACTGAGGTGGATCACTGGGTACTTTCTCAAACTCTGGTTTTAAACTGATACACACTGTCTCAGTGCAGAATGTATCACTTTTGACCTTTTTCTGAACTGTACTGTGTTTGTGGCAGATATTTACCGAGTTTCACAAAGAGGAGCGAGACTGATGGAGAGGGAGGGTTAAGTGTCCAGGGAAAATGGGGTCGGTGATTGGGAAGGAAGCAGGTCAAAAGTGTGTGTGTGTGTGTGCGTGTGTGTTTGTGTGCTGTGACTTGCTGATGTAGAGGAGGCAAGGATGCTTCCCACTAAAAGAGCTTTTAGGGTCCAGTTAGCAGAGCTGCAAATGGGCAGGTAACGCAATTAACAGCGAGACAATCTTTACATTTAACCAGGTTAGCTGAATTTACAGTGGCACGTCTTTAGAGGCAACTTCTGAAAAGTTGCTAATGGATGGCACTCCTCCTTTAATTGTCTCATTTAAGCTTAGATTTCAGATTGCCAGGAGAGGCACAGATGTGTGCTGTGATCAGAAGTAGAACAAGCCACCACGGGGAGAGAGGGAGAGATTGCACGTGACTGGTAGACTGCAGAGTGTGTCTGCAAAGTCATCTGAGGTCGACCAGTCTGTGTGATCAGATGGATGATGCAGAGGTCTTATAGGCCCAGTACGGCACTGTGCCACACACAGAACACACCACCTTGCATACTAGATTAGATTAGCGATCAACCCTTGGCTCCATTTTACAAACAACAAAGCCTCATAGAAAATACTACGTGAGAAACTTAAAAGGCTCACAATGATGTTGTTACATTAGCAGGTATAACATTTAGAATATAATAATAGACTAAAAAGGTGTGCTATCCCTAAACACATGTTATAGCTGAGGTTTATGGGACAACCCAGTCTCATGGCATTTCGTGTTCACCAACACGATTTTTAATCTATTGATCGTGTTCACCAACACGATTTTCCCCTTTTTTTCGTGTTGCACTGCACGATTTTAAAAGCAATGTATTTCTACTGGTAATGTGTTTCGTGCCTGCAGCACGTCTTTTTCTCCGGTCGGGTCGTGGAAGACCGGAAGCTGTGTGGTTCATAAAAACATGTTCTGAACATGTTTTTATGAACCACACAGCTTCCGGTCTTCCACGACCCGACCGGAGAAAAAGACGTGCTGCAGGCACGAAACACATTACCAGTAGAAATACANATATAAAAAATGACTCTGTGTTATTCAAGTGACGCAGTAAGTCATGATAGTGAGACAGCATTCACGATGTCAGGAAGTAGAAACCGGAGAAGCTAAATGGGATGTATTTGTTGAAACCTTCTGTGTCTAAATCAATTTGGTTGGAAAGCCTATCAAATGATCTTGTTTAGATTTCAGAAAAGTGGTGGAAAAGGTCTGTGGCTGATAAATTAGCTAAGTTGTTATGCTCTTTAGAAACACGTTTAGGCCCTCAGCTACAGGGTTGAATGTTTAAAGGTTAAGTCATTTCCTAAAACATCAGGCCACTGAAGCTCTTATTAATACAAAAGTAAATCGTGCATCTGTTGGGGACTATTTTCAGCCACGGATTAATACACGTTTGAAGCACTATTCACAACAGCAGGATGGGGAATGTGGATTGACTCTAGCTACTGTGCCAATTTTCATTGAAGTGGAGAAACATGTCACCCAGTGCAACCGCGTGGCTCACTGGTGTGTTTCGAATAGTTTTTGGGGAAACAATGGAGGTGTATGGCACACAGGACTAGCATCTGCCCAATCTGTACCGTGCATGTGGAGATAAAAACAGTCATTGACATGTGTTGTTGTTTCTGCATTGCATACTTTAGCTGCTAAATGATATAATAAGGTTGTACCAGATTGGGTCATAGACGTGAATACTTGCCAATAGCCTATCAAGCATTTTAGACTTGATCAGAAGCATCAAGGATACTTGTAATGGTATTGGAACAACTCTAGACAATATCTGCTGATATTTTTGCCCTAACAGTTTTCGATGCAACGTTAATTCTGTGACACCTACTTCGCATTTGAAGATATTTTCAGTTATTCCTTCACATCTTTTTCATCTCACTGCTTCTCTATCTTCCTTTTCCTTTAACTTTTTAGACATTGCAAAAACACATCCACAGCATTCATAAACAATGTGATGACACAGTTTCAATCAATATAAACCATTTAAAAGAAGCCTTCGGAGGATGTTTAAAATGTGAGTGAGGAAGTGGAGAGGTCTGAGATGAGAGAAATAAGACAGTAAAGAGTGAATAGCAATAGTTATTGTTTCAAGCTTTCTACTGTCTTTTTATTGTCCAGCAGAGTCGGTCTTAAAGGAGTAGGGTTGTGTGAAGCAAGCCTGGGGTGCTGTTCTCTCACAAAGGTCACAGGAACACTGGAGCAGATTAGCAATTCAGATTGAGCTAAAGGGGCTAAAATGCTGCTGTAGCCCTGCCTGAGTCTGATTATATTAGCAAAGAGTAGGAGTGAAAATGCACACTAGTGATTAGCTAGCATAAGAGGAAAGTGTGTATATACGTTCATGGGAAAAATATTCATGCACATACACATAGCCAATACATATATGCATGCACACATGCCTAACAATAAGCTATGACTCACAATTATCGAACATACAAGCAGCACATGATTCCATTGTGAAGGTTTATCCTCAGTATATCCTCCGACTAACTGGCCTTCCTCACACACACACACACACACACACACACACACACACACACACACACACACACACACACACACACACACGGATTACCAGCACTCACAGCCCAGCACCCTGACCATCTGCCCTTGTACAACTTCCATCTTGTAAAAATGGGTTTGGGTTGCAGGATCATTATGAGGGCAGTTTTAAATGGAAGATGTCCTGCTTGCCTAGGTGCATCCCTTGACCTGTTATAGTGCTCTTGTGGTGATACTGCAGCATCCCTGGCTTTTTGACCTTTTGTATAACAGCTGTCATTACAGTATGATAATAGAAAACCTTAATGTTAAGGACAAGAAAAGTGGTTATGCTAAGTATCAAACACATACAAATCTGTATTTTACAGTACAGCTGTAAAGTTGATCTGCCACGCATAAATACAACTACACAGTATACAGTACTTGCAGTGTAAGCATGCATGCACTGTATTTATAGCAGGAGCAGCACAAGCCAGACTAACATAATCTTGTGTCCTTGTCAGGCCAAACTCCATATTACCATTATCGTATTCCATACTTTTTATTGATTATGAGAGGTTCACACACCATCCACAAACTCATGACAAAAGTGGTTGCTCTGTTCAATACATTAGGTTGGTCATGGTCTCTGTCCAGCAAAGTACACAATACTGTATAACCCGACAGACTAATTGAAACAATGGACATAGTTCATATGTAAGTCCACAGCTAAAGAAACATGCAAGTCCTACTAAAAGGCCTTTTCCTGGGCCTTCTTTCAGAACCATGGACAGTGGTCACAGAGGGATGTGCAGCTGTCTCTGAAGAAAACAGCCTCTGCAACAGTCCAGTGCACAACAAATGAAGCAGATTGAAGAATAATTCAACCAGTGTATCCCCCCATGTCACTATCTACAGGTATATTTTCTTTGTTTAACACTGCTGAGCCTTGATGCTTTGAGCTACACACATAAAAGTGTTAGTCTGTCGATGATGTAGACCTGGATTTGTTGTGGTCATGCTCAACATGTACTCCACAGCCTGAGATATGTGCTATCTAAGGCTGCCATGTTATTGAATCAACAAGCAAACTGGGGACAATACAAAGCCTGGATTATGTGCAGAAATCACTCGTGTGCTATTAACGATATTGAAATGAGCACCACTCAACAGCCCTCTCTCGCCTCATCTCAAAGAGCTGTGGTGCAAGCCCTTGCTCAAAATATCAAACATCACTTCCACTGGCATATTTTACAAAGTGTTCTAGAAAATATAACTCATTCTGAGAAATAAAAACAATTATAAGATTCAGATTCTGCTGCTCTGTCCTCTAGCCTCCATACCATTGTCATGTGGTGCAAGTGTTGCTGTCATTTAGCCTGACACTCACATGCCAAATAATGCAGTAAAGACACTGGTAGGTATACTGGTAGATCTCTAAAAAACTAATGGCAACATACTGACAGATATGCCCAACGGTTGCCATGGCGACTGCGAACCAGCCCCCCTAGATGTTTGTGTGGTGTTTAGTTTATGTGTGATGTGTGTGTGTGTTTGTGTGTGTGTGTGTGTGTGTGTGTGTGTGTGTGTGTGTGTGTGTGTGTGTGTGTGTGTGTGTGTGTGTGTGTGTGTGTGTGTGTGTGTGTGTGTGGCCTCGACCTACCTTGCATTCCTCCATGCACGTCCTGACAGAGTATGCATCCGTCTCGTATTTCTCAACCAGCAGCTCAAACTCCCGGTAGTTCTCCTCTGCTTGCTGGTCAAGAAGCTGATAAGCCCGGACACACTTGCTGCATCCCAGCACATCCTGCCCCATATCCAAGGAGCAATTCAAATCGTCCGGACTCGTAAACCCGTGAAACAAATCCAAAAGTGAGTAGGAATTACAAAAAGAAAGGTACAAATCGCTCAGATTCACATTCGAAAACTGTGTCCCCTTTTCCCCTCCAACGGAGAGGCCCAGGCACACGGTCTCCGCGTCCGTGAAAGTAAAGCACTCTTTGGACCAGCTGTCTGGATGACAGGTGTCCATTCGCCACAGAGGTTTGGTAGAATTCCCTAGAAAAATAACATCTTGCTCTCTGGCGAGACGGTCGGGGTCAGGTGATGTTGGGATATGGTGTCGGTGGAGGGAGTTTGGGTACTCGCCCATGTCCGTAATTGCAAGCCCCTCTTCCGACCGCTTGTCTCGGGTTCGCGTGAGTTTCGCCTCGGCACAGAACCACAAGTGATCAGAGAGCAGGACGGTGATGAAGAGCAGAGAGGCCAGCGACAGTCGCCATCTCTGGGCCCGCTCCGACTCGGTAAATGGCTTCTCGTTCTCTCGGGGTGCAAACCAGTATTTTAAGCCCTCATCATGCTGCCGACGCATCCAAGCACCCCTGGTCATATTTTAGGAAAGTGCTGCCCTGGCCGACTCCACCGCGGGGGCTGCTCTGCCACAATACTCATTGACTTGGGGGAGACGGACTCCGGTTGGTTCTCCTCTGTAGCGGTGGGGTACCGTGCCTCTGCCGGTCCAGGGCGCTCCTCTATCGCGCCCGCAGCAATCGGTGCTATTCCGATCCAATTAGCGCGCTCGCACAGATTAAGCTTCGCGCTGCCGCATCCCGGTTCTCCATGGCTCTCCGGGGGGAAACGGCGTCCTCTTTGACCGCATGCCCCCCTCTCCCTACCGTCCCTCCCCGGGTGTGTTGTCTTTTAGGGGACACAGCGAGACCAGCTGTTGCGAGCCTCTCGGTACTGATGCTGCGCGTGTGTCGCCGTTCGGTTTGCAGATTGACTTAAAGGAGAGCAGAGAGCCCTGTCGATGCACGCACTCTGTCCGGTACCTGGGCGGAACGCTTAGAATCCTTTCTCCCGTTGGCCATTGTCATCTTGGACCGCGGTTAAGTTGCCGCCATGTTCGTCTTGAAACACTTTTTCGGAGAGCTGGGTCGGTTTGCGTCATCTCCATCGTTGTGATAGCTCCATCGTTGCGCAGTGGCGGAGCAGCTTATTACCTATATGCGCACACACAGAAACACACATACACAGGGAGGGAGGGAGAGAGAGAGAGGGAGTCAGAGAGAGAGACAGAGAGAGAGGGAGAGAGTGGGTGGGTGAGCACGGACACTAAGTGTTAAGGCTATCCTCTGCTCTTCATGAGTATTCCCCAAAAATTGTCTTTGCAGGGCACAAACCCAACGACTTTTGGCGACATCTTGCTTTTGGTGCAGGATAGACTCGAGTCCATTCAACAGAACAACAGTGCATTTTTTTTTTAATCAGTTTTTATATATAATCATTCAAATAGATTGATACCCACAATATGTACCACAAATCCTGAAATAACATGGCCCAGCAGGTGTAAATAATGTCAAGGAAATTATTACTTTGAAACACTAGTGGAAACTAGTCAGGCATGATTCTCTGAACAAGTGGAAAGCAGCTGAACAAGCAAGGCTTTGAGCTTGTAGGTTTAACAATATCATGTACCTGTTTCCTGCACCTGCATGGGCCCCCATCTTATCAGCCCTGTTGTGTTTGGCCAGTGAGTTTAAAACAAACACATGAATTACAGTATGGCCCTATATGTAAAGTCCCTATGTGTGACAGAGAGCAAGTGAGGGGGAGGCAGAGGCAGGAGGTAGTTGCTCTTAAGGTGCTGAAAGTAAATTACAGTATGTATCCTCTTCCTTAGAGTTACTAATCATTGTCAGCGTGTATGGTTGAAGATAGGGTTGCTTAATGTTAATGGTCTGTATATTAGGAATAAGACAAGAGATGGTTATGAATGTGTGCTGAAGGCAGGGCAGGAGCAGGCAATGTGTTGTTAAGGAAGAAAAGTGCTCTTCTCACACCAGTCCCATTAGCTATAGTGCAGCCACTGTCCCTCTGCCAAAAAAAAGGTTTTGGCAACATGAATAGTACCGGAAATTAAATGAAAATGTTTATATTGTTTTATTTTTTTCCATGGCAAGGTGAAGCCAATTCATTTGTATAGCACATTTCAGCAACAAGGAAATGCAAGACATAAAGCAAAATAAACACATTATAAAACAGAAAGAGTATGTTATTTAATAAAAGGCAACAGCAAACAGAAAAGTATTCAGCCTTGATTAAAAGGATAGAGATTTGCAGCATTTGTGGGAGTTTATTCCATATATAGTGCATTCAAAACTGAGCGTTGCTTCCCCGTGTTTCTTTTTGTCTCTATGGACAGAAACCAGACGACCTGAGTGTTCTGGATAGTTCATGATGTAGCAGAAATGTCAAATGTATTTGTGCCCTAAAGCGGTCAGTGTTTAAATATAATTAGGGAGATCAGCACTGAATTTCAGCACCATGGACATGCTTACTTCTGTCTGAGTGTACGTTTTCTCAGCTTCCTGTCACAGAGGGTTACCTTGTAAAACTGGCCTCAAAAACAAGTGTTCCCTTCAGTTGTTGCTGGTGTTGCACCTCCTGTTGAGTGTATTGAAGAGCTGTTTAACATCAGAAATCGAAAAGGCCAGTAATGTGGGCCATGTCTTTTATGGTCCGAGTGGAGGGAATACGTCTTGACACTAACATCATTTGCTGATGTATCACCAAATGTCATTGCTCAGACACTGAGGTTCAATTTGCTTGATGTATTTCTTTTTTTATTCACCTCTGATTGTTAGGATGGCTGAAAATTCGCCATTCGGGGCCTGAGTTTTGGTAGGGACATTAACTGGATTTGAAACTGTGGATGGTGTTATGGCAAACATCTGTTGTGTCATTGCTAAGGATGCTTGAATGCTACCCATTCATCAGTCATTGCTGCCACATATTATGTCACCGCAGGCTGCTGTGATCATGCCTCGCGGGGATAGATGTCCTACTTCAGCAGGGACTGTCTCGTCTGCCTCTACCTGTAGTTCCTCAATTGTGCGCTCTGTCTTTGACCCTGACTGTATGTGTGTGTGTGTGTGTGTGTGTGTGTTTGTTTGCATGTATGTGCCTGCCCCCTCCTGCACTGTTGGTAGACATATGGATAAGGGGACCTTGCCAGGAGTTTCACAACAACGCTTTTCGATCGTTTGATTGGTTTGAGCTGCTGCTGTTGTGTGTGTGTGTGTGTGTGTGTGTGTGTGTGTGTGTGTGTGTGTGTGTGTGTGTGTGTGTGTGTGTGTGCGTGTGAGTGTGTCAGACACAGGAGAGCACAGTTAGCCCCTTTTTTATGTTAAGTTTGATGTTAAGTTTTTCAGGTAATCAAAAGCTGATAATCAGTGCGTCATTCAATATCAAAACCCTTTGTATATCTATTTTTACATAATTGTTCTGTCTGGCATGTCAAAACTCAATCATCTATTTATAAATGTCTATTTAAAAGTGTTATATAAATAATTACAGGGTTGTTTGAAGCCTTTAAAGTCATTTATAAATCTGAACCTTGTCCAACTATAAAAAAGTCATCACACGCTGCATTGTTTTGCTTCTGTCATGCACAAACTCACACTGTTGGTTCTTTTAGACCACTATGCCATGAGAATTTCCCCCCAAGTCGTGTTTCCCTCTATATTCCCTCTCATCCCCAAAATGTATTTCCCAAGCCCACAGCATTCTTCACAGGCAGAGACATAGAGGAGGACAGAGGTGGTTGCTAGACTGGACCTAATGACAATCTGAGGAGGAGAAGGGGGGGGAAGAAAAGAGACAGGGGACGTCAGCCAACTGTGCCACAACCTTCACACCTCCTCCGAACTGTGTCAGAGTGGAAATGGACCTCTTAAGGGGAATCTGTCACTTTATCTCCTTCCATCTCATGTCCTCTCTTACCAACAGGCTCTGGGTTGCATGGTCTTCCCTTTGTGTTCTCCTTTCAATGATCTGTCAGTATATTGTTTTCCTTTATTGCTTACTGCCAACAGCTCTCTCCACCCTTTGCTTCCTTCTTCTCCCACTCAACAGACCCTATTCAAGTCATCTGATATATGTCTTCCTTAAGCTCTTCATCACCATGCTTCATCCTTCCTCTGGATCTCAGTTCCACTCTGCCTCATCCACTGTCATCTGCCTGACGTCAGATCGCGTAAGGGACAGGCTCAGTCGCTCTGATTGGTCAGAGAAGACAACACCCTCAGCCCTGGCTTTCTGTCCTCAGTGGATGTTACACAGAGACGTGTGATTTAAAGTGCATAATCTCACTCAAGAGCAAGTGTAGTGCAAAGATATGTTTGTGTATGTTTGCTGAATCCAGGTGTTCATACATGCTTTTGTCTATTTTGTCTGTGTGCTGCTTGGCTTGTGCAATTTGATTATATCATTATTATTCGAACATAAATGTGTTTTTCAACCTTCATTTGTAGTTTTACAGAACTTATTTGAAATCAAGGTCAACCCGCTTTTCATTGCATCTAACAATCCCTATTAACAAATTGAGTTGGCTCAGTTGTCATCACGTAATGTAGAAAGTATGGAACTCCAGTCATGTGATAACAGTCATTTTATGTATTATAAATATCATTAGTTAATACACATTTAAACACCATTGTTATCTGCAGTATGTTTGCTAGTTTTAGCTCTCTTCAAACAAGGTGCAATTCTGATCATTTTTGAAGTAATACTTTTTTCAATGGATTTGTTTAAACAGTGTGTGCACTACTCAGCCAAACAAATATAATACAACCCTGACTTAAACAACTGCAGTTGTTGTTGCCTGTGATGGATTACACAAGCAAAGAAAGTCTCAAATTGATTCCCACCATACATAAATTAATGGAAACCAATGGCTGCCTTCCAGTCCATGTAAAAATGTGAAACACTTCGCCACAGTTTGCCAAATAGTCATCAATGATTTAGAGTAGAACTGATTTACCATAAATGCCATTATATATCCCTGATATGGTCCATGCATGTACTGTATTTGATCAAACACATCTACATTGTGCAATTGGTCACTGGACTCGTGGGGGGGGGGATAGTCTGATGATTGAGATACCACGCAGTTCACCCCAGCACCACCCCTGCTCTGCCTCAGGGTTTTACTCTCCTGATCAATTGGTTCAGCCCATTTCCATTCAGGAACCCCTCAGCGGATTATCAACACCGCTCACTTTCCCAAGGACAATGCCTTTTCCCAGATCCATGAACATGGATCCTTGGCCTGTATATATTGTATCCTAGTAGTCTGATGATTGAGATACCATCATGCAGTTTACCCCAGCACCAACCCTGCTCTGCCTCAGGGTTTTACTCTCCTGATCAATTGGTTCAGCCCATTTCCATTCCAGGAACCCCTCAGCGGCTTATCAACACCGCTCACTTTCCCAAGGACAATGCCTTTTCCCACATCCATGAACATGGATCCTTGGCCTGTATTCCCACCTCGCAACATGGATCTGTACACTCACCCTGCCTGCAGCTTCAAAGGAAATGTGCCATTCAGAGGAGGGCAACATTTTTTTCCCACGAAAGAAAACATGAAGACTTGTTGGAAAACAATCTACTGACGTCAGTGCACTTTTATTATATGAATTATAAGCAATGTTAAATCTCAACGTCTTGTGTTTACACTGTAAATTCATATCATGTTATGCCCTCTTGTGGTCGGACATCTGACATCTTTAAATATTCTAAAAATCACAATTTTCAAAACATACTTGGAAAAAAAAACCTCACATGATAGCACTGACACAACAGTCATGAAACACTGTTATGTTTAAGGGTGTGTTTGCCTTCATCCTCTGTTACCCTGATGTTACATCACCGAAGGCCTAAGACTGTATTCTGATGCTCTCACAGTCCCTACACAACGAATGATTGCTCCCTCTGGGAATCGACCAGAAGCATGTAGAAGTTAGAATCACACTGTGGGTTGAACTCCTCTTACTCTTGGCCTCTTTAGCACCAATTTGTCATTTGAAATCATCTTAAAATTAGTGAGCATTTGGCATGAGATGATTGTACCCTTTGGTAATGTCCTCTTTGTTATGCCATTCTAGCGACATCGTTTTTGTTGTTGCAAAATAAAAAAAAATA